CGATACTTTTGAAATCGCCAAATTCATGTTTTATTATCGAAATAACTTATTGTCTCCATTGTTTTTCAATCTTTTTGTAACGAATAGCCAAATTCACAATTATGGTACCAGAACAGCCGGTAATTATCGAACGCATTTGTGCCGTACAAATCTCAAGCAATTTACAATTCTTTACCAAGGTCCTAAAATTTGGAACTCTCTTCCTGTTTCGGTCACTCGTTCGTCAAACCTTCTTAGTTTTAAGACGAAACTGCAAGAGTTTTTACTGAAATAATCACTAAATTGGCTTAGCCGCACATTCGCAGCACTTTTTCTTTACTTTATTTATTAATGTAAGTGAGGTGGCTCTCCCATAAGCTCGGTGGCTTCCTGGGTCTCCCCGCCTTCTAGCTATAACCGCTGTAAATAAATTTTCCTATTGTGTAAATAAGGGAAATAGAAGATAATGATGATGATAATGATAGAAAGGAAATGGTAGGCTCTTTCGTGACAAAGGAAAAAATCATTTTTAACCGACGACCGAAAAAAAAAACCCTATCATTCAGGTCAGGTTAAACGACAGATTAAATATCAATGCTGACATGTCAATAAACATACCAGACCTTGTGGTAGCTTATTCATCTTCCCATGAGGGATCTAAGAAGCTGCAGCATTTCTGATTCCAGTATCATGAGTGTCACTTGTCTGTATGAACTACTATACATTTATTTATGACCTCGCTTACTGCATTCAAACTCAGCAGACAATTCTGGAGTTCAAAGAGACAGAGAGCTAGGGCCTCAGATTTCTCTACCAACTTAAAGACAACTGGGGTCAGTAACAGTTTATTCATAAAATTCCTGTAAGATACACTGAGAGTTTCTGTACACAAAGGTGCATGGAGTACATAGATTTAAAAAAACTTTAATATCTTCCTCGGATATTTCTTTAATAAGAGTACTTATGGTATTAGCTTTAATTCTTTACAAGACGCGAGACGACTTGAATATACTTTTCTTTAGATACAACGAGAAGTCAAGTATTTTTCTTGGAAAAGAACTTTATTGGAGTTAAATTCATTGCAAGTACTCTTCAGGTGAGGAAAGATAATGAAGAAATATGTAGCATTTAATGATCGAAAGACGAGAAGATTGGAAAAAAATTTACATAAAGAATACATATTATTGATGTGATTTCTTTAGCTTTGTATCTCCCTCTGGTGATTTCACTCAACATCTACACTTTTGACCGCAAAATATTAGGTGCAGAATTGGCAGGAGTTATTTACAAGAAAAAAGCTTATCGTTATTGTTTTTAGAAACTTTATGAAGTTGTCACGGTGAAATCGGAAAATGAAAATGTGAGAGAACTATAACGCTAATGGGAAGATGACCAAAAACAAATGTGTATCATATTGAACAAGGGATATATCGAGTTGATCACTTGAAGAGAAATTGCATTTTGTACAATATAACTCACGGTGTGGATTCATCCTTATCGATTCAGTTATGGCAGGGTATAAGATGTCCTGCTCTGAGGAGAACAGGAGTTTGCGGATTGCGAGTGTTTTGCACTAAAAGAAAAAGAGCTGAATTTAAATCACAGAATTAATTAATTGCCATCAAGAAACATGTAAACAAGTAATAATCATAAAAAGAATAAAAAAACAAACAAAAAAACATGCACAAAAACTTTCTTAAAGAAGAACAGCATTTTTGCTCACTAAACTGGACATTAAGTGAGGTTACATCTTTCAAACTCGTGAATATGTTACCATCATTTTGTTGTTGTAAAGCAAAATATCATTCTTGATATTTTCAGGCATGTAGAATTAACAAATGACATCGTCTGGGGAATAGGAGGATTCAGAGGATAACAGTTTAACAGGTTCATATCAATTTTCATTTTGCAACTGATTAGAGCGGTAGAGCTCGTGTTATTTATAATGACAGATCGCAATCTTATTTTTCTTGCGGCTGACAACAATCAACTTTAATTCAGTCAAATTTTCCCGGTTTATTGTTATCAGATGTGAACATATTTCAATGGTTTCTCTTATTTGACTCGTGGTTTAATAGTCTGCAGGCGATGCAATTTCCTTAAGCCTTAAATTCCTAGAAGTGATATAACTTGTAACTTGTCCCTGTAATATCAATACGTTATCCAGCAAACAAGTAATCAGAATACTCAAGGTTTTATCAGGTAGAATTCGTTATATTTGAACTAACACCAAATTTCTGTATCTACTTTGAAATAAAACATGTAGCAGCTAGAGGGGAGAATTAACAATTAGATCACGGGAGTTAAAGGTTTAACTGTGCGTGATCATTTTGCAGCAGAAGTGCGTGATGAGCATATGACAAAGCTAGATAACGTGACGTATATAATTAGAGTTCTCGTCAATATCAAAATCAGCAAATATCTCTTTGTAAGTTTGTAACAAAGCTCGAGGTTGAAAAAAAATTACACAATCCCTACGTCTCTTTTGATATGGTTGTCGGTGAAATACCAGAATTTTTTCAGTTTCCAAAACGTGACATCTCCACCGCACGCTGTAAATGTACCATTTATATCTTCACATATAAAGGTATCAATGTCGTCATTACAACCGGATTTATCAACATGACAGTTTTACCTTCCATGTGGGCTGTTTTTTTTTTTTTGTTTTTTTTTTCAATGGTATTTCTTACCTGAAGCTGAATTCAATTCTTTTTTAAAGAAAATAGTTCTTGCAATGAGAAACTGTTGTATTACAATGTCCGAAATTGAATTTGTTTTCCGACGAGCTGAGTTTCGGTGTAGCGGATCTCTGTAATCGATGCTCCTATTTAAAAAATTGTATTTGATTCAAATTTTCAATCAACATCTTTTGAATAAAATGGATGATACATGTCGGCCTATCGATACGAATTTATCTGTTTGAAGGAGTTAATAGATGTCATTACACTCGATGGTAAAATTCGTATCCACGCGCGGTTATCTAATACCTCACATATGCGTTTATAAAATAATTCAAATAGTACGCGCGCTCTGATTGGCCATAAAACCATTTTACATGAGCGTATGTAAACACAGTTTTCGTCCCTCTTTCATTAGTTATTTTATAAAAGAAATGTAAAATAAAAGGCTATGTAAACACAGAAACCATTTTACATTTCTTCATTGTATTACTAGATAAGTGTGAGCTTAAAAAAGGCTGTACATCGGCCAATTTCCATCACTACATTTTTAGCCGGGACCGAGACCAAGGCTTCATCAGCAACGGATCAAAGGATGTATCACACGATAACTAAATATATTCATGCACCATGGAATTACCAAATGAATCTGGGAGTTTCGTTGTGATTTTTATTTTGTTAAGGTCGAGTCTGTGACCTCTGTTTTAGACAAAAATGCTGCAAAAGCTTTTATTCATAGGACAAAAATATACTGTGTAGTTACGAAATTATACGAGGTATTCAACAGACTACAAGCATTTCTTTATTTCCTTCTGTGGGGAATCAAAGTGGGAAATTGCATTCTTGGGTAGCCGATCAGAGCACAGCTTTCCTGCTCGCTCGTGGGTCCCACCTTAAAGTATAAATAGCAGAGGAACTGGGAGACGTGTCAACAGAAGTGAAAATTTTAACCCCAGAACCACGATGACTACAATTTCTTGATGACGTATGAAAACTAAAACTCCTCAACGACACGATTAATTATTCTGGTCTTTTAAACGCTTTGGAACATCAATCCACCTCCTCGCAAAACTTGACACGGTAATCGTCGACGGTGAATACATTTTTGTCTTTAAATGTTCGAACTACGTATCTACAAGGTGGTTAGTAGTATCATTTCTAACTGATTATCTGTCAGAGTTCGGTTTTGGTTGATATACCATTAGGCGCAATGACGGACTAAATAGGCACATTGTTTACGTGTTTACATCGTGCGCTGGAAGATAAAACTGTGGGCTCAGTAAATGCTGCTATTGGAGCGGAAGCTTGTTCTGTAAGGCAAGACCACCTCAGCAGCTTCAGGGAAATGTCCTAAATTTCCCATTCGCTATAATATTGCAAAAGATTCTTTTTGATCAGCAATTCGTTCACAAATAATTTTTCAGTTTCATTTCGCTTTCAGTCTCCTTCCTCCGCCAAATGGCCTGGCAGTGAATTGATTCGATGGCCTACAAGATTAAGCTATGCAGGAGTCTGTGTGTTGCGCATGGCTTTCAATTTGTTGCAGATGAAGTTACTTCATAACAAGAGTTTTGATGAATAGGACACTTTCCAATGCCATCTTCTCCAGCCCCTCAAAATAACCTCGTATTCAGCGCCTTTTTTGAATTCGAAATGAAAAAATGGAATCCTTCCCCAACATAATTTGGAGAGGGACCAGCTCTTCCAGTTATTCTCAATTTCCTGGTTCCTTCAAAAAAAAGTTAATGAAGGAGTTTATTTACTAGAACTTATATTTCTGTTAATAATAAAAGAGACTTTTTCCAGCAAGGGACATTTTACACATGCACTTTGTAGTAGAACGGGGTCGATAAACGTGTTTCTTTACGCAATAGGCTCGCGGGGTGTCGGTAGAATTCGTGACGGTAACGGAAACCCTCGAAGGTGTTTCGGTTTCGATTAGGTTTCGCGAATTCTCCCAGCCTTGAAGAGAGAAAGAGTCTTTTATTGCATTATTTTTGATACATGCTTATCCATACCTACCGGTTACAACTAGGTTGTTTATTGTAACTCACGCACTTTGATAAGGGACAGCCTAGAACGACGTTTCCATAGATGAGACTACGAAAACAAACAAACAAACAAACAAACAAACAATTGAAAAAACAAACATGACACAACCCGCAGAACTTGACTGGAGCTGTCACGCAATCACAATAGCGTGACGGAGGAAACTTTGAGATTCTCATTCTTTCTCTATGATTAAGTAGAAAATGTTTTCTTTAGGTTAATGTCATTTGAGTCTCCTCTTTTTGATTTTTCACAATGTAGCGGAGTACAATCGATTCAATTTTATTTCTAGCTATGGCAGAAAGCAACCTCCCAACAACGGGAGGTGAACTGGAGGTGAAAAATGAGTTTCCAGCTACAGGTGAGAAAAAGCAACAGGGAGAGACTTCTCTATGGTGATTTTGTACTGTTTGGTAACTAAGTATACTTTAATTCTGGCGCTCAATTTTTTGGACCACTTCGACTTGAATGTTTTGAGGAATCCACTAAATACGCCAGTATTAGAACGCTAATTGTAATTGCACATAGTTGTGATCACTAACAAAGTTGAAATATCTTCTCGGCAATTTCAGCGACAGAGGAAATTCAAGCTACTTCAAGTGACGCTGAACTGGATGTATACAATGACCCTTTAAGAGGTAAGAACACCAGGTGAAACAAGATTTTTTGAAAGACGCCCCAGTGAAGTTTTTGTCACGTTTACATCAAAATTTGCGTATGTTCTGTGGATAAGTTTTGAAGAAGCCGCAAAATATATTTTTTTAAATTTTAAACTTTATCACCAGAAAATTAAAAAAAAACAAAGGGAAAAAGAATTTATTGCTCGATCCGATCGAGCAGAATGCGTAGGCATCATTAATTTTTCATTAGCAATAAAGCGGAAAATTTGAACGCGACTACGCTTTGAAGAGCCCTAAATTAACGAAGAATGAGCCAAAATTGGCCTACTAGGCTGATAAAACTCAGTTTTCTGAGTTTTAGAAGTGCCTATCTGTATATCAACGCACAATGTTTTGGAGATAAAAGATGTATCTACAATTTGCACCTAAAATGAACGATATTTGTGCAGTAAAAAGTATTTATCTTTTGCACTTGAAAATATTGTTAATTTGGTCACTTTTAGTACGAAAGTCATTTTCGGTAGGAGAGAGTTGTTGGTACCCGTAGACCCGTCAAAGTCCAGTATTGAAAAATTTGCAAACGGGTAACTTTTTTCAGGCCGCCAAAAGGAAAGTATCTACGCGAACATCTTTTTGTCCCTAATTGTTCAATACCTGTTCCAAGGAACTTTCACGCAATTTGAGAATTCTACAGAGAAGAGGAGGCATTTTGTCTCGGCCGTATCGCCTGTTTTGGTCTTCGAAATATTTTACACCTTTTCGGACAGTTATGTCAACACCAGGCTCACGCTGTAAACCACAGGCCAACAAAATAGTAGAACCCCTGACTTTCACAACAGGCAAAATGGAAATTCGCGGGAAAGTAGTACTTTCCCAATAATATCTTTTTCCAGTGAGCCTCTACGAGAATGTTTTCAATAGACAACTACATGTATGTAATAAACCAAAAAGAAAAAAAGAAAAAAGCATGTTTTTCTGAGGCACTTGTCACTCTCAGCACGGCGTTTCTTTTCTTTATTAGAACATTCACAAGTTTTAACCTTTTTCGGTCCTGGCTTTGCTTTGCTTTATACATTTTTCCTCAACAACTCATGGGTTTTTATATTCCAATTTGACATTTTGTAAAACGCAACTCAGGTGTAAAAGGAATTTTGGAAAGTCTTTCGACCTAAATGTAAACCAAACAAACTTGATCTGGTTATAGCCAAGCTACAGCTGAAACTCCAGATAGCTTGCATATTTCAAAGCAAACAAAATGCACAGATAAAGTCTCCTGAAGTGCAATTGTAAACAAAGTTCAGTTGAAATAGGATCTCCCGGTGAGATTTGGGATACTTTGAAAAACGTAACCCAGGTGTAAAAGGGTTTTTGGAGAGTCTCTTGACCCAAATGTAAACCGTAAAACTTGAACTGGTAATAGCCAATTAAGGTACAGCCCAGACTCCCAAAACCTTACACATTTTACTTGAACAAAATGTACAAATACTAAACTTTTCTGATTTTTTTTCATGTCCCTAAGCTCCTTTAACCTAACAGTTCGTTTGGAACTATAACGTTGGCATAATCCGCAGAGGGTCGTGTAACTCATTACTAAATCATTAACACTAACATGGTGTGTTTTCAGGGATAGCGAAAGTATGTCTCGAGGAAGGTAACAGAGAATACAGACAAGGAGAAGCTAATAACGCGATAAACTCCTACACGGAAGGACTTCAAGTGAACTGCAAAGATAAACGACTGAACGCCAAGCTTTACAGCAACAGGGCAACAGCTCATTTCCGTTTGGGTAACAATTTCATTTCTAAATATATAAATATCTCATGCAGCGTTACAAGGTATCGGAATACACAATCTGCACCAAGAAGAGAAAGAAGTTGAGCAACAGCAGAAAAAAAAGCACAAATACATGAATCCCCTTTAGTGGATGAAAATTCAAAAAAGAAATGATTCTCGTTATTAGACTGCAATTTAAGCAGTTGTAATTTTTCAGGCTTTTTTACTGCAATTTCATTGGATGACCACTTTTTTAAACCTCATTTCCTGAATCTCATAGCAAACTATGTGGAATGTCTGGATGATGCAACAGTTGCTGTTCAATTGGAACCCACTTTAATCAAAGCTATTAAGAAAGGTGGGTTTTTCAGACATAAGCCATCAACATTCTGTTCTCTGATTTCGTCAAAAGAGGATTGTGTGGTTTGTGGCAGGTGACTGCACCCCAAGTGTCAATTGTATCTGGTGTGTCAATGTCTGTGATGTGGGTAAAAGCATAAGAAAATGTCAACAAGCTCTCAAATACCGCTGCCTGTTTAGTTCACGTTGTAGAGCGCCGGAAGTCGAGGGTTCAAGCCCTTGACCGGACCAACACTCAGAGTCGTAAAATATCTGAGGAGAATGTGCTGCCGCCTAAGCTGTGACATCTGCAAATGGTTTGATATTCTTGTCCCGGATAAGAACAGAAAACCATAAGCCCCGTTTATTGCATCTTTTCTGTAACTGAAGGAGGCACATGAAAAATTCCCTTTCAAAAGTTGTGTACTGCTCAATGCAGTCTGCCGGGAAATTTCCCCGAAAAGTGCTGAAAAGCGCATAAGAGCGCATTAAAAAGAAGAATTCGTGATATAAATTCATCGTTATCATCATCAATTGAAGCTTAATTGGTGGCCGCTTTGCATTAGCTTCTTATTGTTCATCTTCAGTTCTTCTACAAGTTCAAATTTCCTACATTATCACAATTTTTGTTCCTAGCTAAATGGCAAATTAAGTCCATTTTATTAATACGTTTATACTTTAACAGTGATGAGTTACTTCGTACCACCAATTATTCTTTGTTTTTCAGGAGCCAGAGCTTGTGTCGAACTCTGCTTGTATAAAGAAGCAAGGAGCTGGTTGCATATGGGATTGGCCGTATCCTTTAACGAATGTTTCAAAGATGATACGAGATGAAATGCGAGTAATATTTCAAGGAAAATCAATACGTTCCAGACAGATTCTGCAACACATAATGCAAACAATGTTCTCTTATACTGCACTGAGCAGTTTTAAAAAGCTAAAATATTCTTAAAGAGTTCTTTCGATTATTCCACGAAACTTTACTCAAAAGAAGAGGCCATGTTAATTAACCCTTTAACTCCCTTGAGTGACCAAGACAGAATTTCTCCTCACGACATCAATACATTATCTACCAGATAAGTGATGAGAATAAAAAAAATATCAATTCTAGGATAATTGGTTGATCCAAAACCAAATTCTTTGAGCTTATATAATAAAAATTGTTTGGTTAACAGTGAGAAGAATAACAATGTTGATCTGAGAGTTAAAGAGTTAATTCCCAGAGTTTGAGCTGAATGCCCCTCGTTTTTGTCTTCAGACGAGCATCACCATGACGACCGAACCTAAACCAATAAATGCGCTTCAGAGCTAAAAAAAACTCTTCAATAACTTGAAATCAAATCTCTGAAAAAAAACCCACGTTCGAATTATCATTCCAGTTTTAAGATTCTATCTAATACTTTCACTGTTTTTTTAAAATACACATTTCCACTGCATTTTCGCAAATCTACTCATGATTTATCGATCCTTGACACGTTTTAAGATTGAAAAAAACAACAAACGTCTGCTTCAATTACTAAGGAAAACTAATGCTGAGCTAATAGTCACAGAAAACAGTTCTTCCAATCTCGGCAACGCTTATCAAGGTCAAGGAAAGTTTCAAATAGCTATCAAGTACCATATGCGTCAACTAGAAATTGCTAAAGAAGCAGGAAATAGGACCGAAGAGGGAAGAGACTATTGCAATCTCGGCAACGCTTATCAAGGTCTAGGACAGTTCAAAACAGCCATCCAGTACCATCAACGTCATCTAGAAATTGCTAAAGAAGTGGGAGACAAGGCCGGAGAGGGCGGCAGTTATTGCAATCTCGGCAACGCTTATCAAGGTCTAGGACAGTTCAAAACAGCCATCCAGTACCATCAACGTCATCTAGAAATTGCTAAAGAAGTGGGAGACAAGGCCGGAGAGGGCAAAAGTTATTGCAATCTCGGCAACGCTTATCGAGGTCTAGGACAGTTCAAAACAGCCATCCAGTACCATCAACGTGATCTAGAAATCGCTAAAGAAGTGGGAGACAAGGCCGGAGAGGGCAAAAGTTATTGCAATCTCGGCAACGCTTATCGAGGTCTAGGACAGTTCAAAACAGCCATCCAGTACCATCAACGTCATCTAGAAATTGCTAAAGAAGTGGGAGACAAGGCCGGAGAGGGCAAAAGTTATTGCAATCTCGGCAACGCTTATCAAGGTCTAGGACAGTTCAAAACAGCCATCCAGTACCATCAACGTCATCTAGAAATTGCTAAAGAAGTGGGAGACAAGGCCGGAGAGGGCAAAAGTTATTGCAATCTCGGTAACGCTTATGACAGTCTAGGACAGTTCAAAACAGCCATCCAGTACCATCAACGTCATCTAGAAATTGCTAAAGAAGTGGGAGACAAGGCCGGAGAGGGCAAAAGTTATTGCAATCTCGGCAACGCTTATCAAGGTCTAGGACAGTTCAAAACAGCCATCCAGTACCATCAACGTCATCTAGAAATTGCTAAAGAAGTGGGAGACAAGGCCGGAGAGGGCGGCAGTTATTGCAATCTCGGCAACGCTTATCAAGGTCTAGGACAGTTCAAAACAGCCATCCAGTACCATCAACGTCATCTAGAAATTGCTAAAGAAGTGGGAGACAAGGCCGGAGAGGGCGGCAGTTATTGCAATCTCGGCAACAATTATCAAGGTCTAGGACAGTTCAAAACAGCCATCCAGTACCATCAACGTCATCTAGAAATTGCTAAAAAAGTGGGAGACAAGGCCGGAGAGGGCAAAAGTTATGGCAATCTCGGCAACGCTTATGACAGTCTAGGACAGTTCAAAACAGCCATCCAGTACCATCAACGTGATCTAGAAATTGCTAAAGAAGTGGAAGACAAGGCCGGAGAGGGCAAAAGTTATTGCAATCTCGGCAACGCTTATCAAGGTTTAAGACAGTTCAAAACAGCCATCCAGTACCATCAACGTCATCTAGAAATTGCTAAAGAAGTGGGAGACAAGGCTGGAGAGGGAATCAGTTATGGCTGTCTCGGCAAGGCTTATCAAAGCCTAGAACAGCTCAAAACAGCCTTCCAGTACCATCAACGTCGTTTAGAAATTGCTAAAGAAGTGGGGGACAAGGCCGAAGAGGGAAGAAGTTATTGCCCTCTCGGTGGTGTTCATCTCCGTCAGAGAGAGTTGAAAACAGCAATCGAGTGTTATCAACGTCACCTAGTAATATCCAAAGAAGTGGGAGATAGGACTGGAGAGGCGTGCTCACTCTGTTCTCTTGGAATAAGTTTTGAGTGCCAAGGAAATCTTACGATGGCCTTTGACTTTTATCAGTCGAGTGTACAGTTGTATGATGATATCAGGGCCAGTCTTCAACTCAACGATCAGCTGAAGATTTCTTATCGTAATCAGCACCAAAGGGCATACAAAGGTTTGTGGCGTATAAATCTCAATCAAGGTCAAGTTGTAAAGGCTCTTCTTGCCGCAGAGAAAGGACGTGCTCAAGCTCTGAGAGATCTCATGACCACAAAATATCAGCCTGGAGATTCTTCAACGCACAGCTCATTTGATTCTCTGCGTTGGGTTCCATTGAGCACAGTTTTCATAGGTATTAATGGACCATGCGTTTACTTCTGGGTTTTCGTCTGTGAAGATAACATCCAGTTGAGACAGGTACACGTCACGGATTTTAAGTTTGAGAATGAATTGGAGTGTTTCATCCAACTGCTGAACAAAACTGCTCTGGAGGAGATCCGTGAAAGAGATACTGCTAAAATCGAAAATCTTCCTCCTGATTCGCCAACAAAAGAGAAAGTGGCCAATGATGTGATCCGAGTTGGTGTTAGGCACTCCCAATCAAGTGCTTTAAAGAAGCTGCATGACATCATCGTCGCTCCTATTGCTGACCTGATCGAAGGCAACGAGATAACATTCGTTCCTGAGGGGCAATTTTGCCTTGTACCTTTTGCAGCGTTGCAGGACTCCAACTCATCATATCTAAGTGATTCTTTAAGAATTCGTGTGCTTCCCTCTCTGACGACGTTGCAACTAATTCATGATTGTCCAGCTGACTTTCATATGAAGACTGGTGTATGTCTCGTCGGCGACCCATGTTTCAAACACATCATCTATGAGGGAGGACTTTTGGAGCAACTTCCAGGAGCAAGGAAAGAAGTGGAGATGATCGGACGTATCCTTAATGTTTCCCCCCTCACTGGAGAAATGGCAACAAAACATGAAGTGTTAAAACGAATATCATCAGTGGCGTTAGTTCATATTGCAGCGCACGGTAAAAAGGAAAGTGGAGAAGTTATCCTGGCACCAAACACCACAAGAGAAAACCCTCAGCCGCAAGAGAAAGACTATCTACTGACGATGAAAGATGTCATGGAAGCTGGGTTGCGAGCACGTCTGGTTGTACTTAGCTGCTGTCACACTGCTCGTGGGGAGGTCATGGCCGAGGGTGTGGTCGGCATGGCGCGTGCACTTTTGGGTGCCGGTGCTAGATCTGTTGTGGTAACCTTGTGGGCGATTGGTGACGAGGGAACCCTGGAGTTCATGAGTTTCTTCTACGATGCACTTGCCAATGGCAAGAAGGCAAGTGAAGCTCTCAATCAGGCCATGAAGTGTATGAGAGAAATTGAAAAGTTCAAGGAGGTAATTTACTGGGCACCATTTGTACTTATTGGTGACGACGTCCAGCTGGATTTCAAGGATATTTCGAAGCTGAAGCAAGTAAATATTCTATTTACACATTCTATTCAATACAAAGTTACATGAAATCATAATTATTGCTTATATGTTTCAGTTGGGTAGCGAAATTTATGTTTTGCTCCGGCAAATTGAGATGCAGTACAATCAAGAGGATACATTTACAATGATAACATTCTTTTTAGGAAACCTGGTAGGAGTAAAAAAACTTTTAAAATTTTTCTTAAAATAAAATTTTTTAAAAAACAATCCTGTTGTGCAATGTATCGTTTCATGTGCTAAGAAATATTTCATGGCAACTCAACTATCCTCCCTAAACTTAGATTCTTTTATTTTTCAGTTAAGGCAGTGAGCATTGGAATCCCAGGGAGTTTTAGGATACCTGAAAACGCTGATTTTTGGACAATAAACCAGTAAGCGACCGATGAAATATTTGTCAAGAGTCTTCTTTTCAAAGCAGGAAGAACCAAAAGACGGCCAAAGTCAAGTTTAACAAGAGAATGGATTTCCATTGATTCAAAAGTTGACTTTTTGCTTGTCTGAACTGCTCTTACGAGCTTCATCTTTGATATCCTGCCGGAACAACCTTTTTTTTTATATGATGTCTTATAATTATCATGACAAGCTATATTAAAGGTTTTTTTAAAATCTAAGTATTAGCTACGAAGAGGATTAAGGTTCGCGTTTACGTCGAAGTTAAAACGACTTGAAAACGTTTTCCACAGTTTTTTTTACAGATTTTTCTTAATCAGTTTTTTGTCTCATGAGTGATGTAAAGCTGTTGTAGCCATGTGCATGTGTGGAGAATTTCCATGGAAATTAGAGAATAATCAGTTGTCCGATCGTTCGATTATCTTAGTTTATGTCAGATGGAAATTGTGATTAACTTTTCGAGGATTTGTACCCAGTCATTGGTCCCTAAAGTTCGTTTCTGCCGATCAGAATTTGGTTTATCTGGACGTTAAATGACAGATTATGGTCGTAATGGCCAGGATTTAATCCTGTTATTAATCAATTTTCGGAAATTTTTCCTTTAATTTTGAACGCGATAAATTGTGTTATTTTTTACAAGCAGAGCGATGCATTTTAAGTATTTTGTTTAAACTAATGGTCCAAAGGCAAAGCGAGAAGTTTTATCTTAATTTTAGTTACTGGCGCACAAAGCATTAAAAGAAGCTCAGAACGAGCTAGAAAGTTGGAACCAAATGATTCCATTTAGTTTCTCCGGTTAGATTCTTTACCTATTATGTAAGAACAATAAACTAACATTTGAATGTCAAACAATGAAACAAGTCGCTGGCAGTTTGTTAGAATGGAAGAGGAAATCAATGACAAAGGGGAGAAAATTTCTGCATCAACCTGCCTAAGCCATTTCTTGTCGTTTGAAGTAGTGAGCGCGCCTAAGTCTTATTCCCTTATTAACTTTTGCCCACTCCTTTGAGTAGGTTTATTGAATGAGAGATGAATTTCGATATTTTCTGACTCTTTAACTGCTAGTATCGATCATAGGCAGCCGTTCCTGAGGATGTCACGCGACGCACTTCTTTAGCGCGTTATGCGACAGATGAGGCGTTTTGTCACATCTTGTCGTTTGAAGTAGTGAGCACACCGATATCTCATTCGTTCAACTTTTGCCCATTTCCTTGGATAGAGTTATCAAATGAGGTATAAATCTCGATACTTTCAGATCTTATAACTGCAAGTTTCATTGGTAGCCGTTCCTCAGGATGTCACGCAACGCGCCCCTTTTGCATGTAATGAGGCAGATATGATGTTTTGTCAAAAATCGTTGGAGGCAAGAAAAGAGAAATTACCTTTCACTTTGGGAGATGGTGCTTCAATCTGTTTATCGAAAGTGTCCTTATTATAGGAGGTACCCTAGGTCGGTACGGTTCCACGAGTGTAGAAAATATTGATGACTTTTTTTTCCGCGATCGCAGACTTAACTAAAACAGCCTGTACAAAAAAACCCAAAACTTGAAAACGGTTTAAGAAGGTGGCATTTGCAACTCGAATTTAGAGTGCTGGTTTCTGAGGAGTAAGGAAAACCGTGAAAAACAAGGCGTGGAAAAATCGTGGAGGTAAGGATCAACCTGGGAGAGACGGGCATGGGGAGAGCATTGTCGCTACGCATTCCTCTTATGTTCAATCTGAGAGTCTTAATGAAGCTAACGCGAGATATTCACCGAAGTGAAGGCGAGCAAGGATAAATTTCCTTCCCCCTTCTAAAGACCTTGTACCGGATTCAAAAATACAGTAAGTCCTGATATTTTTACTTCCCCCCAGATCTAAGGAGTTCGCTGCTGACGTTAGCAGGAGTTCGCTGCTGACGATAGCAAATGTTACAATCATTTTTAAAAAAGAGCCATGGGAAGGGGGGAAGGGTGGGTCGCGGTTCCGTTTATCCCCCCGCGTTGGGAGTGTAAACGGCAACGTGGTTAGAGGACGGATTCTTAAGAATCTTAGAGCTACGATTTCAGAAAGTACAGGTAAGAATTTTCCTGAGTAATTGCTAGACTTGGACTTCTTTCGTCTTCTTAGATTTTCTCTTCGTGCTTCATAACCCTACTCCATCTACCCACCTTTGAGCGGTTTTTTATAATATACCACACTGGTGAATAGAGCTCTTCGCGTGGACTGATTGGCTAACTCGGAATTAATAGTCGAACCTGTATTTAGCGGTCGGTTGTCAAATTCCCGAATTTTTTTCCTCTTATCCATTGTCACTTTCACCGCTTTTCAGCGGTGGTCTCTATTAAGCGCGCGGTTGTGGTCATCCTTGACTGAGTCCCATCGGCCTGTTCGGGTTGTATGGAACGGTTACTTAGGGCGGAATCACTCGAATAAAACGACGAATTGTCTCTACAGTAAAATTTACTCCATATTTGTCTCCCAAAATCAATGTTAGTGTTTAGAGTTCAGATGTCCTTAACGAATTGTAGATTATATTTCTTCTATCGGACTGTTTGTATCTGACAAATATTATACAAGAAAATTACACAAGAAAAATCATTTGTTGGTTGATTACCAAGAGGTCTAATTGTTAGAATTCTAATCTATTGTTCTGTCTTTACGCTGTACCATCATATTGTTGATGTTATTTGATACATTTTTTACATAAACTCGACATAAAATAAATGATGAATTATGGTATTAATTAAATGTTGTTTTCTTGTCTTTTGTCATTGACCTGTATTAAACAGTGATAATACTCAGTGATAACACTCAGTCACTTATATTTTATTACTTAAAACAGAGGAGTCTTTTTTTTCTGCTAGTTCACGTTGAGTGCTGGACTGCCATGCAGGTAAAGGGGGTAAGTTTCTAAAGAAACTGTGGTGCTGCATCAGGGGGAGAGTATAACAGTGTAATTTTGTATTATTAATTGTGTTGATAATGTAAATTGGCCACTGTAAAAAGTTAAAAGCTGACGTTTGGAGCGTTAGCCCTTCATTACAGTGGTTGGAGGAATTGTGAGTTGTGTGTGTATTTATCAGCAGAAAATGGAGCCACGCTATTAGTGGGAATATGGTGGCAAGAAAACAAGAATAAATTAGCTGAACGAAAAGCTTCCGTTGATACTGTAGGGATTAAAAGTGCCGATCTGAAAGATAAATCTCTTTTCTGGAGTTTTGCAGCCCTTCAAACAGCCTAGATGTAGGGAAAGAGATTAAGTAGATTAAATTGTCTTGCAACCAGTTTGGATGTGCTCTTGTCATTTCTTTCTACATTGCAAAGGGGTTATTGCTGTGCAGGTAGTTGAGGGTTCAAGCCCAAGACTGCAACAACACTCGGGGTCTTAAAATAACTGAGGAGAATGCACTGCCTTTGATATAACATCTCCAAATGGTTAGACATTCTAGTCTTCTCAGCTAAGGATGATAAACCATAGGCCCCATGCTCTCCTACATCTTCTCAGTGCTGGTTAAAAGCCATGGGACATTAACTCCCTGAAATGATTAACAGGTAACTTCTCCCTATAATATCCACACATTATCTAGCAAACAGGTGATGAGAATACTCAAACTAAACAGGTAGAGGATGTTTTCTTGATCTAACAGAAAAGTTCTCATAACTGATGAATATGCAATTGTGCAGCAGCTAGAGGGGAGAATTAATTAATAATCAGATCTTAAGAGTTAAAGAGTAAAACAACTCATCGACTTCAACAAAGAGTCACAAATGTGATTCCCAGTGTGGTCATCTGGCTTTGTTATCATTTATAGAGGCAATGTAAACCTGCTTTTAAAAGCCAAACCGAGCCAGCCTGTATAAATATTCCAAATAAATAAATACATAACTTAATATCAAGTCTACACCCACATCACAAATGGAGGCTTCATGCCTGAGGGGCCCAGGAGCTGCACCTACAGTTACACCTCAAGGTTCTAGAACACCTGACTAGCCTACCCAACTCACAATCCAGCTGCAAGCCTCTTGCCCAAGCTCTCTCTGAGCACCCGTCACACTAGAGCCAAATGGCTCAGAGGAGGAAAACATAAATAAATGAATAAATAAATAAACAAATGAATAGAAATAAACCCCGCACAAGAAAGCCTGCAGTTAGGGCTTAGGGGGAAGGGAAACGTCAAGAATTGCTATCTGCAAGGACAACAATGTCACAGCATAGAAGAGCAAACACAACACAGGCACAATGACAAAACAATGCATGCACTGATGAGGTATATTAAACGCTGGACAAGGATGGCCCCAGGGCCCCAACAACCACAGTATTGCTGCAAACTCTGCTGAATGCAACAGATGTTGCACAGATTCCAACAGCTGGCTTAAAGATATGAACCAAATGCTTGAAATGCTACTAACCATATTTGCTCCTAGTCATTTAAACTATGTTAAATTCCATTTAACTATGTTCAAATTTGTTTATAAACTAATACTGCCCCATGGCAACTGAGTCAACTTATAGCTCCTACAATATTTAAGCGATTTTTCACTTTTCAACAACAACGAACATTTCATTTATTCAAAATCAGGTCACCATGTATGACCACTTACCCTGCATC